TAAGAACGAGGCGGGAAATATAATCACTAAATCAAACAGGATCAAACGAACTAACCTGGGTGAAGTTGATTATATGAATCGCCTCGTTGAAAATTTACCCGATCATGGAAAAATTCCAAATTCCCGATTATGTGTTGTAACAATGTGCTTTAAAGAATGACAAGATTCGATACGACGATCGATAGGACAGAGAGCAGTTAGAGATGGGAGAAAAGTTTTAGATGCTTTGAAATTTGTGCCGTCACCTGGTGGGGTACTAGGTACTACACTTGTGATTTCGAAAACGAGGCGGAAATATAATACTCGTACAATGAACTAACCTAACATTATGGAATCATCACAATTAAAAGCCTCCGCTCCACCGCAAAGTCATTGTGAACTTCAATTTTTTTTTATCTCTTGGAGCGCACGAAAGGAAAAGTGTGATGAATGATGAACGTCTACATTTTCATAATATAAAAGGATTGTCATTATTTATGCATCAAATTCATTGTTTACAAGTCTATTGCTTTGCTAGTAATAACAGTAATTGATGATGCCACAAGGATTATTGAAATCCCAATGATTATTTATTCATATGATATTCAAACACCGATTCAACAGATTCTCAACAATGTGGTTTCTAACTATACAAGTCGTGTACTCCAATAAGCGTGAGACTGCAATAATTATAATAAAAGTGTTTACGCGATAATTCATTATTTTCAAATTATATTGTTTGAGTGGAATCCATAAACACAAGCGATGAGTTCAAAGCAGATATTACTGAAATATTCATGCGTTGAAAACAGATATTCCGACATGACATAAAACTCTATGTTATTTCCTATATTTATCCTCTGAATGAAGATATTAGATATTATAGTGATAATTCGAGTGCTAATAAACCAGCACCAAGAAATACTGTCAGCTTAAGTGAAGTCATTTTGTGCAGGTTCGATATTTTCTTGTTGTTTTGAAAATGTACTCTTCATGATTTCCTCAAACATCGATGAATAAATACACGATTTTACTACTAGTCAGTTTCCTTATCCCATCCCCCGTGTGCAATTTGATGATTAAGTATTGCGAGTAGTTTTATCTCTTCAAGTACTCATTGGAGAACACGAAATGCGATGGTAGAGAGGTCTCAGATACGCGACTGGCCAATATGGCGGCTATTCCAAGATGGCTGCCAACCTACATATTAAAAACAGCCATATCTCGGCCATTTTTCAACCGATTTTGAAAGTTTTTTTTTTGTTTGGAGACCATTACGAGCGCTATCTTTCAGATGGTCACACATTTTCAAGTTATGAAAGTATAAGTAGAGAAAATACAGTAAATAATCAGTTTTTCGTTCAAAAATCGTTTGTTTCCATCATAACTTGGAAGTTGTTGTATTTAGCGTGAAATGTGTAACAATCTAAAAGATAGCGCTCGTGAAGGTCTACAAACGAAAAAACAAACTTTCAAAATCGGTTGCAAAATGGCCGAGAAATGGCTGTTTTTAATCTGTAGTTTGGTAGCCATCTTGAATGGCCGCTATATTGGCCAGTCGCGTATCTGAGACCTATACAATCGCATTTCGTGTTTTCCATTGAGTACTTGAAGAGATAAAATCACTCGCAATACTCAAACTGCACACGGGACACAATAAATACCTGTTAAGGAAACTGACTATACAGTTAGCATCCTCAATCTTCAAGAAGGGCGTGAAACAGAACTTACATAAAAGTATTCCGATCTCAAAATAATATTATAGAGATATCCTGTGTGAATAAGGATAAGGAAGATCATGTGAATAAGGAGGAAGGATGAATAGAATTTCCATCATATCTTCCCCCACATAATTGAAGAACATATTATTTGGGGTTACATAGCCTTAGGGAAGGAGCATGCATCAATATCCAATTATTGAGAGAGAATAGGAACAAAATTTGAATCCATGTTAGTTGATCAGTTCATTTGAAATATTGCTGTGCTTTCAGAAGAAGGGTGGATAGATGAGTAGCGATGACGAAATATTTGTGGAATTATCAGCAGATATTGTTATGAAATTATAATTTACTGTACTCATTAATCTGTACTCTGGTTCCAACCAGGAGTAGTGATGTCGGAAAAAACATAATTGACACTAGTACATACTTTTGCCTATCTTGAAGTATTACCACTTTCGATGATTTTTTGGCATGAACCCATGGTACGAACCTTATCAGATTTTGAACAAAGGCGTTTGACGAATACCAATATAACTCGAAAAAGACACCAGCTTGGTACAGCCAATATTGAAATAATTATCCACAAAATGTTGCAGAAAAAGTATCCATATATACTATACGGTCTCTAGTAGGTAGCGATTGTATTCACAGATTTGATGTAGGAGTTTTCCTCTATAGTTATTTATATTTATTTTCGAATAAATAATTATAGCATAAAGCATTCCAGGTTAGGCAGTACTTTACTTGATAAATGGTAGGATCGTAACATCAGTGTTTTTGAGTGAGAGTGTTTGGAAAATGATGGCAATAGCAATACAACATTTTATGTCGCCGAGATCGTAGATGTACAAAAACTGATAAATCGCCATTATTTTTTTTTTAATTGACTCGGCCGTTACTTGATGAAAATCCATAGCAAATGGCAAATGTAAAAACTTCACACAAAATGCTTAATCAGATAACATGTTTCGCTAAGACATTAGCTTCATCGGTTCAGTCATTGTCTAACGGTCAATGGAGAACAATTTGAACATTTATTGTGAATTTTCGTTTGTTTGTTTGTTTTTGGAAGTGTATCACATTAATTGCATAACTACATAATTCCATTTAATTTGTTTATTACATTCAGTAACGTATTACTTTCCATAAACAATTTTCATATTTGGAATCAGCTCAGCAAGGGCAATTCTGAAATTGAAAAAAAAAGGGGGGTTCCATTTGAAAAAAATGGTGATGACGTCATTACACGAAAGTGGTTCACCCTGTATATCAGATTATGATTTGAAACAATAGTAAATTGAAATCAAAAATCGACCTGTTTCGGGAATTTCTAATTTTATTGTTCATTTAGCCAATAATGAATTTATGCGTTACTTTATGGACGCACTGTACATATATTTGCAAAAAAGAATAGTAGTTGTCGAAATTGGTTTCCTCAGGTGTTCATTTCAGAAATTTCTAGTCTTAATAATTCCGATTATCTACCAATTTGGGAGTATTTTCGAACTTTTCGATTTTTTTATCGTCCGACATGGACCAGAGTATAGAATTTTCACTTGGCAGGTAGGAGGAGTCATTTTTGAATGGAATTCACTATCAATAGTTGCGAGATGCATGGTGGTCCTCAAATTCGACTAAAGAAGTTTCCGGAACTGTTTGCCAGGTACCACTTCACCATTTATTATAATTCATATCACGTTTCAGTTCCAGATCAATCAATGAAAAGCTGATACTGATCGATTGAACTGTTTCAACAAGAGATTCATGCAGTGAAATTCAACAATGTCCTATGTATTTGCCACTACCATATCAACGTATTATTTCCACTCCAGATAAAACAAAGTTTTACCTACCATTCGACCCCAATTTCTAAAATTTTATTATAATTGAGGACGTACTTGTGTCATGGTTGATCTACTGGAATAAAATAGTTGATGCACTGTCGTGAAGATTTTCAATTTGGTAGCAATGAAACTGAAAATTTGATGTTATGGAATACTGAGATTAAAATCATCATGAATTATAACTTACTTAACCTTCAAACAACGTAATCAACTACATAAGAAGCTGTATTGTTCAGCAAATAGTCGAGAAAATGATAATGTTTCTTGAAGTTTCAGGAATTCGAGAGATTTATTCGATGGTTCACTCTGACAGAATTTATGAGAAACAGGTTCAATCAATCATCATACCAGTTATTTAGTAACAATGGGAATATTTGTTGTTGAAAATGATGTGGAATATTAACTTAGGTATTTTTGTCATATTGTCCACTCTTCTGAAATAATTGACGAAATTTCATTTGATTCTCTCAATATAATAAATAAACTCAAGTGATAAATCATTTATTATTTTCCTTGAAAAGGTTGAAGCATGAGCTTTCGCGAATATAAGCTTTTTTCACTTATACCTATCATCTGTAAGCATGAAGAATCTCATGTTGGTTTCCTCTAAAAGCCTGTTATTCTTCGTTTGATTTGTCTGCTGAATCTTTCAATTTCATTAGTTTATAATTTTCCATCCTACAATTTATAAATGAAAATGTTATTGATGTACTTTGAGAGAGCGATTCGAATCATCAAAAATATTAACTGACATGAAAAAGTTCGTTAGTCTAGTATTTCAAACTGTTCTCTATGAATTTTATATCAATCTCATTGAATATTTCATTTCAATTGTCACTTCTATACCTACAAGTACTCACAAAATGCTAATTCTGATGTAAAACCTATATATGAATCGATTGAAATATTTCAAATTCAGCTCATTTTCTTCTGAAGTTCTCACACTATAGTGGAAAGTTATTGAGATGAATTGAAATGATTTCCATCTGTTCAATTGGCCATTGGAAAAACAGGATAGAGATCAGATACATCGAACAACAAAGTTGTTGTTCGATGTCATAGATCACAACCATATATAATTTCCTAGTTTGAGAATATGTTTTTTTTCGTCACTTAAAGTACTTATACGAAATGTACTCACACATATTTGAAACTTTTCAAGATACTCTCTTTGAGGAAACAGTAGACTCTACTATATAACGAAAGAAAGAGGCTATCAGAAAATCAACAAACTCAACTTCTAATTCATCCTTCGACTGGAAGTTCCTCTGCTTGCCTTGACAAATTATAAATTGAAAAAAAAAAATACATTTCTTCGTACAGATGATAAATAATGTTCTCAGATGATATTCCGCCCTCAGGACCTCAAATACTTTATTTTCCTCTTCAAGCTTTCCATTTTCTGCTGAAATACTAGAGGGATTATATTTTCTTGGATGAACTTATCTGATTTTAGCATGTGATATGAATGTCCACAAGAGATGCGAAGAGAGCGTACCCAACCTTTGTGGATGCGACCATACAGAACGCAGAGGCAGGATCCAACTAAAAATCAATTGCAACGGCAGCAAGCTTACCGTCGAAGGTTAGTATTCCATCAAAATCAACTAGGAAAAAATATAACTTTCACTATCACACGACTGTTCAAGAATATCTAACTGACTTTTATGCAGTTTAAAGAACCTTGTCTATGTCTCATATAGGGTATGCTCATCTTCTTCTCGGAAAATAGATTACTTCTTACTACTTATTGTTATTCTTGTCTTTGTCATGTGAATCTTAAATATTACAGTGTATATTTCAAAAGTGAAGAAGAGGAGACATTTCAAATTTACAATGAAAACTGATGATGATAAAATGAAGCAACTAATGAACCGAATTCATATGTCTAAGGGCTATAGGTCGACAAAACCCAAAAGTTTTAGAAAATATAGAAGTTTCTGAAGAGGATAATACTCCTTAGGGGTTATTATATAATATACCTACTGAAAATCCCCACAAATCATTGCAGCAGAAATGGTAATTAGGTCAGAAGCCATCTTGGATTTCGGTTGGCTTCTTCTTCGTCGCTTTCTGGGTTATACGAATTTATTGAGATTTTCAACACAGCCCCAAGGAATAAAATCCATCCAGTTGAGAAATTGATTATTTTCCGTTTGTACCCTAGAATGTCTGGGGTACCTAACTATACATACCTGGTGACACAGGGTATCGGGCCACCCCTGTAACTTCTGCATTCGTCAACGGATTTTTCTGAAATTCGGTACAGTTATATAAGCAATTATTTCGGATTTGATCACAATACAATCCAATATGGCGGACTTCCGGTATTTCTGGAAATGCCAGCAACTTTGTTTTTTCAAATGAAACACCCTGTATATTTTTACATATTCAAATTCAACAGGTCGAAACAAGTGCAATCTTTATTTCAAATGTCATTTTTTCGAAAAAATTTAAATTAAAATTGTTTTTTCATTTTACCTCGTGGATAAATGAGATGTGGTCAAGACTATTCACAATGAGTCACACATAACAGAAGAACATAATTTTTTCTGAAAAATAATTTTTTGTATCACTTATCCAGGAATCAATTCAGCCACATCACTTGTTGATCAAAAATTTTTTTTTTCAAATGGAACCCCTATGGGCCACCTACCCCTCTCTCTAGAACATACATTAAGGAACAAAATGACATAATATATCATTTTTGTTTTTCGGTGCAGTAACAAATTGTATACATTCAAAAATCAACAACTAGTTTATGAATTTCCTTGCAGTTAGAATAATTTTTCAACTAGGTAGGCTGTGGAATAAATGACATTTGACATCAAGATTGCACTTGTTTTGACCTGTTGAACTTGAATATGTAAAAATATACAGGGTGTTCCATTTGAAAAAACAAAATTGCTGGCATTTCCAGAAAAACCGGAAGTCCGTCATATTGGATTGTAATGTGATCAAATCCGAAATAGTTGCTTATATAACTGTACAGAATTTCAGAAAAATCCGTTGACGAATGCAGAAGTTACAGGGGTGGCCCGATAACCTTTGTCACCCGGTATATAGCAACACACATACTCCAAACTCAGCCATCTGAAAAAAAAACCGATAATATAACAACTTCCATGAAGAATTCGACCACACAAACAACTATTATGAAATAGTTTATCAGTTAGTCAGTTCAATATATTCACAAATTCGCGCAAACAGGAATTCATAACTTAGCTATGAAATATTTTTTTAACAAAAAGGAATGAGCACTATTTGATAAATTGATAAACAGCACGTACAACGTACACGAACAAGTAAAATTGTACAACGTACACGAACAAGTAAAATTTTACAAACATAGTGTTTCATGTATTTTCAATTTAGTTTCATGTAGTTTCAATTTACTTGTTTAGTTAGAAGCCATCTTGAATTTCGGTTGGCTTCTTCTTCGTCGCTTTTGGGGCATACGAATTTATTGAGATTTTCATTGTTTTCACACAGTCCCCAAGAAATAGAATCCATCCAGTTAAGAAACCTCTATTATTGATTATTTTTCGTTTCAACCCTAGAATGGCTGGGGTACCTTACTAAAGCCACCCACATACTATTCCAAACTCAGCCATCTGAAAGATAAACTGGTAATATAACAACTTCTATGAAGAATTCTTCCACACAAACAACTATTATGAAATGGTTTATCAGTTAGTCAGTCCAATATATTCACAAATTCGCTAACAGGAATCCATTACTTACCTATATGAAATATTTTTTTAACAACAAGGAATGAGCACTTTTAATAAACAACACGTAGAAACAAGTGAAATCTTACAAATATAGTGTTTCATGTATTTTCAATTCAGTACAATGAGGAACCTGTTTTTTTTTATCGCTTATGATTAGTCCTATATCTTGCATTGGGATTATAGGATATGAATGGGATCCATCATATAGTTTCGACAATATTTTTAACAAATGAGGCCTGACATTATTCCTCCTCTATCAAAAATTCAATAAGATATTCTTATTTTAGTGAAGCAAGGAAGGAACATGATACCAATGGACCCGAATGGTCTGAGCGATCCATACGTCAAGCTCAAACTGATTCCAGACTCAGACAACGTCAAGAAGAAAACCAAAACCATCAAAGCCTGTCTAAACCCTGTCTGGAATGAAACGTTGATTTTGTGAGTAGTCTTTAAAGAAACTGATCGTTAAAGAGCAGATTTTCATTCTTCGAACTCATGAATCGAGACGCAATATATTATTATGTCCATCAATTATGTAAATAACTATATGAAAAGTGCACGTATTTATATGATTGTATTTAATTCTTGCCTCACGAGAATTACATAATATCCATAGATTTGCCCTTCCTTTCTTCAGAGAATAGATGCAACATAAACAGGATGTAAACATACCTATTTTCACAAGCAGATTAGGCAAATTTGAATACAAAATCATATTCAACGGCGAATCTGATAAGCTGAAGCAAATGCATTTCTCACCGAGAATAAAAATCAAATTTTTGTTGGTTTTAAGTGATCTGAAAGCAGAAGATAAAGACCGCCGTCTCCTAATCGAAGTTTGGGATTGGGATAGGACCTCTCGGAATGATTTCATGGGGTCCTTGTCTTTTGGGATATCCGAAATCCTGAAGTCCCCTGCCGATGGTTGGTTCAAATTGCTCACTCAAGAAGAAGGGGAATTCTACAATGTTCCGGTTCCAGAGGAAGGTGTAGATATGGCTGTTATAAAGAACCAACAAAGGGTATAGGAAATATGAAATGATTTATGATAGACACTATGCTCTCGGTTATTTGTATTTCAGAAAGCTTCTATCATCAAGAAACCATCCTTGTTGGTAGATAAAGATGTTCCACACAATATGGGAAAAAGAGATATAATAAGGGCTAGTGATTTTAATTTCCTTATGGTACTTGGTAAAGGATCATTCGGCAAGGTACTTCTATATAAAATCCACGATTCGAAATGTTTCCATTATTGAAGCTGATCAAAGTATTCATATATGATCAGTAATAAATTTGATTTGCGAACTCCCTTTGTTGATTTATTCGTGAGTTTTAGATTTATAATATCTTCAGGTAGTGTTAGCTGAACGGAAAGGAACAGATGAACTTTATGCCATCAAAATACTCAAAAAAGATATAATCATTCAAGATGACGATGTTGAGTGTACCATGGTTGAGAAACGAGTTTTGGCCCTATCCAATAAACCACCATTTTTGGTACAGTTACATTCCTGCTTCCAAACGATGGTAAGAAGACTCAATCTTTTTCATGCTGTGCAATGATTGATGTGAAAAAATTACAGGATCGTTTATATTTTGTGATGGAATATGTGAATGGAGGAGATCTGATGTTCCAAATCCAACAATTTGGAAAATTCAAAGAACCAGTAGCCGTGTAAGTAAAATTCACAGAAGGTAACGTTCCTATGTCTGAATTTGATTCATTTGAAGGTTTTATGCTGCAGAGATAGCGATCGGATTATTTTACTTGCATTCCCGAGGCATTCTCTATCGTGATTTGAAGTTAGATAATGTTCTGTTGGATCAAGATGGCCACATCAAGATAGCTGACTTCGGAATGTGCAAAGAGAGCATCAATGGAGAAAAGACGACTAAAACTTTTTGTGGTACTCCAGATTATATAGCCCCAGAGGTAAGCCTAACCTCAATACAAGACACTGGACAGTTGTTTTTTTTTCAGCTGGAAATGCTGAAAGGAAAACTACGAAAAAGCCAACATGCCCAAAGTGGAATGAAGTCTTGAATAAATATACAAAGCTCAAAAGTCATTTTCACAAAAGTTCATAAATGAACGAAACTGATAGTCAACTAGAGAAAAACAATTACTTTTCCTGGCTATAAGCCGACATCCGCCCGAAATCTATGCAAAGATTCATATAGACGAATAAGATCTCAACTGTTTCCTTCCTAAATTCTGAATTGTGCTTAAATTGTTCGGGAACTCTCGCCTACCTAGAGATCGGTTTCGAGCTTCTGGATCTCATCAGTGCAGGGGTGTCTCCAGGTGGCATTCATGATCGTCATCTTACTTAAGAAGGAAACCCTTGCGATCTTATTCGTCTATATAGAAATCGTTGCATATTGATTTTGGGAAGATGTAATTCAATGTTCTGCGTGGCATATATATATAGCCAGGAACGTAGTTGCTTTGCTCTTGTCATCTACCAGTTTCGTTCATTTATTAACTTTTGTGGAAAATACATTGAGCTTTGTATATTTTTTCAACATTTCATTCCACTTTGAGCATGTTGACTTTTTTTTAGTTGAAGTTTCGCCAGTCGCCTCTTTCATTTTATCTGAAATGAAAAACTGTTTTCGATTGTTTCTCTCCTTCTACTCAGGTGGCATTCGTGTTCAATTTCGTACGCCTCGTGGGTATTGAATACTGGGATGTGTTTACGTTGGCTCAGGTTTGCACCAGATGGTGGCCATGAATGCCATCTGGGGACACCCATGCACTGTAGTCAAGCGTTCCTGAACAATTCAAGCACAATTCAGCATCCAGGAACACTTACGATATTATTCGCCTATACGAATCGTTGCATAAATTTCGTGAGGATGTAATTCAATGTTCTACGTGGCATATAGAGAGGAACGTAGTTGTTTTTCTCCCGAAATCAACCAGTTTCGTTCATTTATGAACTTTTGTGGAAATGACTTTGAGCTCTGTGTATTTATTCTCAGAGGAAAAATTTTAATAATAACGATCAAATAATATCACTGTTGCATTCATTCATTTATTGTAACTGAAATTTCGAAATATTTCAGATAATTCTGTATCAACCCTATGGTAAATCCGTTGACTGGTGGGCTTATGGAGTACTGTTGTATGAAATGCTGATTGGTCAACCTCCATTTGACGGTGAAGATGAAGAGGAGTTATTCGCCGCAATAACAGACCACAATGTCAGCTACCCAAAGGGGTTGTCGAAAGAAGCTAAAGAAGTTTGCAAAGGAGTGAGTGAATTGGTTCTAATCAGCCAAACATGACAACAAATCAATGTTCCATCTAAATCAACATTTTTTAATCTGATTGTCTTTATTTATCTCGTTCTCATCATGATGTTCAATTTCACATAATCATTCACATCCGGAACTTTGAGCCTTGAGAGCTGATTGGGTTGTATTGACATATGGGCATGGGTATATCTCCCTCATCTTCCCGTAGGTACGCCACTGCATAGGAGTGAGTGCAAAAACTGGAAATGGCTTGTTTACCCATCCTCAAACAATGTTGACAATCTTCATATCAGGAATTATTTGTTTGCAAAGTAACCTCGAGACTTATCAAAAATTAACACGATACAAAAAATATTTCTGAATGGAATATCTTCCTGGAAAAAAAAACTGGAAGTTTCCAGTCTGACCTCTGAAAAGTTATCATCAAATTTTTACAACATGGTTGTTTGAAACACTTGCAGGTCACTGATTATGATCAAACACATCTCAAAACGTGACCTACAGTCACAAATCATGCCATGCCAAAAATTATGAAAATCGATTTCAGTCTACTCTTTTAATGAGCAAAACTATTTTCTACCAAAAAAACTTCAACGCCTTGTACCAACTTAACGAGACGATATTGGATATACAGTGTGACCCATTTAAGATGGAAGCGCCCTTATAAAACTTACATTTTTCAACAGATTGGAATGATTTTTTTTTTGTTAGGTAGATATTCAAAAAGTCTATTAGGACACCAAATATCATGAATAAATCTCCATTTCCAGGGCCAACTAATCTGATTTTTCAAGGTCAAAAATCTAAAAAAATTACTAGCGATTTTTTTAGAAAAAATCTGACTACACCACTGGATTTGTGACTTTTTTCAAATGGGTAACATGTAAATTACGTTGAAATGCGTCAATCAATAAAAAAGTTATAAAGGAATGAAATTTGAAAAATATGCCGTTTAATCAACCCATCAATTTTTATTACTGAACAGATTTCGATGAAACTGTGATCAGTAATATTTCAAGACATCCTGAATCCAGTGGAGTATACAGAATTTTCATAAAATTCCTGAACATGAATTGGTGGGTTGATTAAACGGCATATTTTTCAAATTTCATTCCTTTATAACTTTTTTATTGATTGACGCATTTCAACGTAATTTGTGTAGTCAGATTTTTTCTAAAAAAATCGCTAGTAATTTTTTTAGATTTTTGACCTTGAAAAATCAGATTAGTTGGCCCTGGAAATGGAGATTCATTCATGATATTTGGTGTCCTAATAGACTTTTTGAATATCTACCTAACAAAAAGAAAATCATTCCAATCGGTTGAAAAATGTAAGTTTTATAAGGGTGCTTCCATCTTAAATGGGTCACACTGTAGGTAAGTTGACCTAAATCAACTTGTTTTTATTCCAAGAGTCCACAGCCGAGCCACCCTGTATGTGTCACCCTCCCCACGGTACACTTCTGGGTGCACCACTGCTCATATGTCAAGTTAAATTACTAGTTCACTGAGAATTCTGTTGGTACCTTCCTATGCTATACGAAAACATTGAAAAAATGCTTGATTTTGGAAGAACATTACCTGCTCACACTGGTTTTTCATAGTAATTTATTGCGTATTCTTCCACTGGTTATATTATGAATACGGTATGTTTCCACCCACAGTTTTTGACGAAGAATCCTGCCAAAAGGTTGGGTTGTGGTGCTCAAGGCGAAGAAGACGTCAGAATACACGCATTCTTCAGGCGCATAGACTGGGATAGAATAGAAAACAGAGAAGTACAACCACCTTTCAAACCAAAAATAGTAAGTGCCCGTATCATATCATCAAATTTTAACACAATCCATAGGAGATATTCAACAATTCCACTCCAAATTCTTGACTTGTATTGTATAATATGGTATTGAGAATAATCGTAAGTTCTCAAAAAATCAAGGATGAAAGTGAATTATCTAAAAGCCTCCTCATAAATATTTGTTATCCATATTAATTCGAACTCGCTGACTGTTTTGACGTAAAGAATACTGAACTTACTATTTATCATAATTTCTTTCAGAAACATCGTAAGGATGTTAGCAACTTCGACAAACAGTTCACTTCAGAGAAAACTGACTTGACCCCAACAGATAAGCTGTTCATGATGAATTTGGACCAGACCGAATTCACTGGTTTCTCATTCCTCAATCCGGAATTCATTCAACATGTCTAAACGGAGGTGGACAGTATATAATATATACTCTGGTATCAAATTGATTATGTAATTCGGTCATCTACTCAGAAGTACCCAACATTACATTAATTATATCTTTCTGCGAAAGCCACTCAAATCATGACATATCTAACTGAAAACAATAAGTAGAAATATGATTCGTGAGTAATACAAAGATGAGAAATTTGAGGGATTCTTGGTGTCCCTGATGTTGTGCCAAGTTCTTGCTAAGCCAAAACATTCCAGCATTTAGCATCATACTCTTTGAAAAATTCCCTTAGTTGCAACGTAGAGAACTAGGTTATAGCAATAACATTCCATAGAGGTAGTTCTATTGCACTGTTAGCTGAATTGCATATTGAATTTGCATAAGGTGATACTATTTAGCGATATTTCAAATGCCTCTCTATTTTCGAAAATTGTCACCGCACTATAGTAGTGTACAATGAAGTAGTTTCCACGTATTCAATAGTGAATAATGTAATGTAAGTTTCTCGTTGAAGTTCTTCCAAAGTCATCAATGTGCTGAGATAACATGGAGATAGAAAATAATGTGAACATTTTTATTGATGTTTATGTATAAGTATCTTGAAGTATAGTCGATTAGGTATACCTACGTCCTGTATTTTCGAACTGTGGGATGAGAGTTTACTTGGTCGAAGGGCACAAAAAACATCGGCGTGAAGAAGAGTTGCTTTTAAAAAATAACCTCGTCGACTCTCCCTCGTCGTTAGGGTTCATAACAATGGTTTTCAGGAATTTTCCTTGATATTTTCAATTCTCAAACAAGCAGAATTGGATTTCGATTTTCATCTACCTATTCTATTCATTCAGCACAAGGATAGTTTTATATCCTGATCACTAAAAGGTATCATTCAATATTTTTCAGCATTTGATATCTTATACAGGGTGGGCGACCAGTAACGCTTCGGTCTTTAGAAGGGTAACCACTCATCTTGTTGAAATTCTTCCTCTTTAGGACGTTGCATGTCAACATAGGCTACCATTTGAAATTATTTTGAAACATGGGTGTCTCCCAAAAAAATCCACTGAAGTTATACTTTTTTTAATGGTACATCCTATATATTATTCCATTTCGAGATTCTCCCGGAATATCTGATTTCAACGACTCATCGTACTTGGGGTCTAGCAGTAATGATTACTGAGATATAGGGTGTGAAAAATGGAGATTTTCCAAGTTCAGGAATTGTTTGTGTCGAAACTAATTATTATTGGTCAAAATGATTTACATATCCCTATCTCAATTTTCTATTCACTATCGATTGGTATTTAATTAAAATAGATACAGGGTGGTCAAAAATCTCAATTCTGAACCAACCATGCAGTATTTGTTTTAATTGAATATCGATTGATAGTGGGTACAAAGTTGAGATAGGGACATGTAAACCGTTTTGACCAATTATGAATAGTTTCGACACAAAAAATTCTTGAACGTGGAAAATCTCGAATTTTCACACCGTATATCTCAGTAATTATTACTGCTAGACCCCAAGTATGATGGGTCTTTGGAATCAGCTCATCAGGGAGAATCTCAGAATGAAATAATATATAGGGTGTTCAATTTGAAAAAGAATAACTTTAGTATTTTGCGGTTTTCGGGGACACCCTGTATGTTTTTGAAATAATTTCAAATGGTAGCCTATGTTGACATGCAACTTCCTAGAGAGGAAGAATTCCAAGAAGATGTGTGGTACGCCTTCTAGAGACCGAGGCGTTACTGGTGGCCCACCCTGTATACCGGGTGGCACAGGAGACATGTAGCAGCCTGTAGTTATTTTATTTGCAGAGAAAATAATTTGAAATGCACAAGAGTTATATTATTGATGATGATGTTTCCCTTGAACCAATTGACAATTTTTTTCAACCACCTGTTTGATTGGAAGTAGAGACCCAACTTTTTTTTTCATAGGCACCCTCTAGATTTCTGTAGCCTATTTCAATTGCCTTAAAATTCTCTATCCAACTATGTATCACAATTTGATATTCGGTAATTGATTGGCTGAATGAAAGACACATAGTTTTTTCACAAGTAGCCAAATGAAAAAAACTGAGTTTCTATTTAGTATATAGGCTACAGAAATAAACAGGGTGCTATGTGAAAAAAAAAGTTTGGTCTACTTCCGATCAAACAGGTGGTTAAAGAAAATTCTCATAGGGTTCAAAGGAAGCGCCATTATCGATAATATAACCCTCGTGAATTTCAAATATTTTTATCTCTTCAAATAAAAAAACTACAGGCTGTCACATGTCTCCTGTGTCACCCGGTATATAAGTACCTACTCGAATATTTTGTGATCTTGTAAGTTATAAAATGATTCGAAATATTTATTCGTAATGTTCAGTGCTTTGAGCACCCCATTTGAAAAATGAACATTATAATGCATTTTTATGCGTTTTGTATATGTGAAGAATTAATGTTGCTAATATCTTCGGAATCTCGTAACTCTTAAGAATGTTAAGTATTTTTATACTTCTTAGATGTAGATTGTAAACGTGTTTTAACCAAGTGCCAATCAAATTCCATATTATTTCTACTGAGAAGAAGGTATGAGGATCTAGTCATTGTGATTGTGGAAAACTATGATTATAGTATATTTGAAAACTATTAGTTCCTATATCTAGCTACTCACCCATCTTCGATATTTCACCGAATGTTTGAATCAGCACTGACAACTATAAATACACCCCATTCCATTCTAACATCATGTACTTCATAAACTTTTTCCATAAGAGCCTATACGTCTTTCTACGCATTCTCAATGGAGGGAACCACTGATTTTTTAAAACGACATCATCTTGAGCTCTATACCAAAAAATCCCCAGTAAATATAATTTTGAATTTCTTAATTCATACTATGACGATCACAAGATAAATTCAAATATGTCCATTTCAAAACACACACTTTGTGCGCCATTTGAAATGGTGTCAAATCATTGGTGTGACTGGTCGTGTGACGTAATAATCCCAACACGCCTATTGTCCTTGAGCTGACCAATCACACACTGCAACACTACAGAATGGCAAGGTATAAGAGAGAGATAGCTTCAGTTCGAAGTTAATACGTTCATATCTGGCTTTTTGAAACATATCGAATGAAATATGCTAATTTAAAAATGATATAGATTCGATTTCCTCCAACTTCAAGTTATAATATTGGTTATACATGTAAATGTGAATCATGATATATCGATTGAAAGAGTTTTGGACGGATTTCATCCCTCAGGGGTCTTCCCCATTGTCATTGGTTACAATAGATGTCACGTGGTGAATTTCATATTGCTCATTTATTCCTATATATTTATGGATTTTAATTTCGAATTGATGTGTTTTTTTCAAGAATCATGTTCTTCCTTCTTCCACGTGATCTTTCACAACAAGTTATATAGGTCCTCAATATACAGGGTATATCACGACGAGCTTACACTATCTTTATATCGAGAACCAGTCGGGAGATATCCATGAAAATGTGCATAATTATATTTTAGAATACGCTCTCCTCATTTAAAATTATTTCGACAATGCAGTGTTGCCGCTTGTACTAGAAAGTAGTAGCAACATTGATATTTCAAATGGAACACTCTGTATTCTATCGCATTTCTAGATTCCCCCTGGAAAGCTTATTTCATCGATGTATCACACTTGGGGAGGATCCAAGAAGATTCCAGAGATATAGAGTGTTCAAAATCGAGATTTTTCAACTTTAGGATTTTTATGTGTTGAAACTATTCATTATCGGTAAAAACGGCTGAATCCTTTCTTGGGGAAATCACGTGATATCAATAGCTAGACGTGCATCGCAAAAATTTGGTTTTCTGTTTCGGCTAAGAGCTATTCTACTTCCAGTCAGCTGCTTATGATCTATAAGGCACAGATCCGACCTGTCCTGGAATACTGTTCCCATATTTGGAGTGCAGCACCCAAACATACCCTGAAACTGTTGGATTCTGTCCAAAAAAGGACAATTCGTCTCGTGGGTGATGCCTCGCTCACAAACTCATTTCTCTGGAACACAGTAGAAAAGTTGGCGATCTGGCTCTATTTTATAGATATTTCCATGAACGATGCTCTTCTGAAATATCAACAATTGTTCTTCTCTTGGCAGTCCCCACGAGAGACTCGTTCATCCTCGAACAGCACGGCAGAAATGTATGAAAAACACCAATTCCTACCTTATTTTTCTTGGTTCTCACGATGTTCTCTGAACATTACAGGATATTCCTTTTCGTGGGAACCAGAACATAAAAAAAACATGTCACTTTCCCAACTTTTGATTCACTATCCACAAATATTCGATCGGAACAGATACAGGGTGGTTCAAGAATCAGAATTCTGATCACCCTGTATCTGTTCCGATCAAATATCAGTAAATAGTAAATCAAGAGTTAAGATAGGAACATTTGAGCCGTTTTGGCCGATGATAAAAAGTTTCGACATAAACTAATCCTAAAGTTGAAAAATCTCGATTTTGAACACCCTATATCTCTGTAATCATTTTTGATAGACTCCAAGTGTGATATATCTCTGTAATCATTTTTGATAGACTCCAAGTGTGATGTATCGATGGAATCAGCTCTTTAGAGAGAATCACAAAATGCAATGAAAGACAGGGTATTTTATTTGAAATAACAAAGTTGTTGCTACTTTTTGATAGAAGCGGCAACACTGCATTGCTGAAAATATTTTAACGAACTGAAGAGAATGAGCATGCATATTTTCATAGATTTCTCCCGACTGATTCTTGATATAGAGATAGTTTAAGCTCGTCATGACATACCCTGTATACCATGCATGTGATCTATGTTGACCAGTAGGAATTGGGCGAATGCATTGAAAGATATGTAAGCTCCCATTGATGGGGAAGACCACTGAGGGAAAAAATCCGTGCAAACCTCTTTCAATCGACGAATCATGATTTACATTTTATGTACAATCAATATTATGAGTTGAAGTTGAAGGAAATCGAATCTTTATCGTTTTGAAATCAGCATATTTCATTCGATATTTCAAACAGCCAAATATGATGGTGGAGTCGTGACGTATTAGTCCCGAACTGTAGCTATCTCTCTCTGATACCTCGTCATTCTGCAGTGTTGCAGTGTAATTGGTCAGTTCAAGGACAATAGGCGTGTTGGGACTAAGACGTCGCACCAGTCACACCAATGAATTGATGAAATTTCAAATGGCGCAGGAATTGTGTGTTTTGGAATGGACATATACCAACCAATTTATTTTTTTCATCGTCTTAGTATGAATGAAAAAATTCAAAATTAGTTCACTGGTAGTTTTTCAGTATAGAGTTCACGATAATGTCGTTTTAAAAAATCAGTGGTCTTCCCCACTTTCTTTCAAGCCTTCTACACATTGAATCATACATATTTATGGACTTTCCATAGGATATTAAATAATAACGCTTGTCTAGTTTTGAGAATTTTTAAATTTCTCTAGTGACTTCCACTGTATATGCCTGTACAATCAAGGATTTCAGCTCAATGTTTTTGTCTGAAAACATACTTTGAGATTTAGCAGCATTAATATGTATCTCCAGGACTAGTCTTTTCTATCACTAATTCGATCGATGATAACAAAATTACATGGTCCTGATTATCTGAATACAAGCTTTCATATAATATGACATCCCAGTTGAAGGGTTTATGTGTAAAGGAATAGATACTGTAAAAATATATATTCAATATTTATTATAGGGATTAGCGTTAAAAATGTTGTCATAGTTTCTCATGACAATGGACTTCCGAAGTTCTGTTATTCTTGTTCTATGAACAATATGCTCTGAACATTGTTTCAACCTCTAATAAATTCGCGTTTCTATTGAAATTACGAGAATCTTGTTTGTTACATACAGTGTGATGATGAAGTTCCTAACAAAATTCAATATTGAATATTTCTTGAAATTTCTTGCGTAATTTTTTATCTACTTCATACCTAAATGAAGTTTCAGGCTCATGACAATTTTTTGAATGGTTTGAGAGATGTATACTAATACGAACAATACGAACTCTTCCGTTCATCGAACTGATTGTGACACAGAAAAATATTTATTCGAAATAATGAACTTTATCCAAGAATGGGCTTGAATTGGATTTGATGACGACTACTAATTCATTTTAATACCTATTTTTGACCACTCAGTATATTTGTGCATGAGCTGATTCAAGAGCTTCTCGAAAATCATCAGATAGAGCAGTTATCAATTTTGTTCACTACTTCATCATCACGCAGTATATATATAATATTATGTTTGAAATATATTCTGTCCTGTTATTGATTGTTGATGTTTTGATCTGATTTTATTGTATGTTCACCTTGTTGAGATACTACTTATTGGATGAATAAAAAGTGGAGAATGAGAAAAGACGATGAAGGAATTGTGAAAATTATCAACTATCATGT